CTCCCTCTTTCTCTCTCTCTCTCTCTCTCTCTCTCTCTCTCTCTGGGTGGCTGCTTGAGTCTGCCTGGTGCTATCCTGCTTGCAGGAGCTTTCCAGAGCATTCTGGAGCATTCCTGAGCAGCCTTTCTCTCCATACAGATGGGGGAAGAGAGCCCCAGAGTCCAAGAGGGATTGCAGGTCGGTGTCTCAGAACCCCCAGGGCCTCGGGCTGCTTAGCGTCTGGTCTCCCGGGGGCTGGCAGTGACCCGGCTGTCTGCTTCGCTGTCTTCCAGTCTACTTCTGGCGGGGCCACACAGGAATCAAGTACAAGGAGCCAGTGGAGAGCTGCCCCACACAGGCCGTGCGCTGTGATGGGGTCGTGGACTGTAAGCTGAGAAGTGACGAGCTGGGCTGTGGTAAGGACGCTGGGCACGGGTGCGTGTGTGGGAGGGTGTGAGTGCACACTGCAAACCGCCCGTCAGCTTGAATAGGGGGCGGTGGACAGAGAGCCGGAGGACCTGGGCTCTGGTCACAGTAGCCTTGGGTCTGAAACCTGGCTTGGGGTGCTGTGTGACTTGGGCAAGTCACTTACCTTCTCTGGGCTTCAGTTTCTTAATTTGTGGAATGGGCGAGATTAGTAGTTCTCAGGATCTGTCTCCTCCCGAGTAGCAGACAAAATGGAGGTGCTCTGGCCGGAGGCAGGTGTGGGGTCCAGAGCCCCGTCCACATGCCCCTGCTCTTTGCCCAGCAGGTGACCCCTGACTTGGCACCCCCTGTGGTTTCGTAAAGTCAGTTTGTCAACAGCTGGCCTAGATGAGCACAAAGGTCTCTTTGAGCCCGATCCTCAGTGCTTTTTCGGTGCGTTGTCTATGTATAGCCCCGATGCAGGTGTCTGTGGGTGCATGTCGCCTGTGTGTTTACGCGTATCATTGCCCATAAGCACGTCTCTCTGTGACTGAACACGCAGTCGGATCACAGACCCTATTCCCCTTGTCACTCTCTCGTTTGGGCATGTCACTGCCCTCTTGGGGTGCTGCCTCCTGGCATTGCTCACCCCGTTTTCCCAGCAGAGGTCCCCTGGGTCCTGTGGCATGGAGGGCTGTCTGCCCTGCCCCAGCCCCTGCCTTGGCTCTGCCTCTACTGAGTGTCTGGGGCTTCTGAGCCCTGGCCAGTGATCATTACCTCCCGGATCTGGCTCCCGGACGTTTCCCAGGCCCCAGCGAGGAGCCTTAGGACAGGAGCATCGCAGAGCCTCACTCAGGACATTCCTCAAGACTTTGGAGCTTCCTGGGTGCTGAAAGCCCGCTCTGCCCTTTTCTTGCCTGGCAGTGAGGTTTGATTGGAACAAGTCTCTGCTTAAAGTCTACTCTGGATCCTCCCATCAGTGGCTTCCCATCTGCAGTGACAGCTGGAACGACTCCTACTCAGAGAAGACGTGCCAGCAGCTGGGTTTCATGAGGTAAACCTCTCCCCAGGGTCCCAGCTTCGGGGATGCCTCGGGCTCTTTGCAGGGGCCTCTCAGGTTCCTTGTGGGCACCTGGAAAGGGCACCTGGGTGGCTCAGTCCGCCAAGCGTCCTGTTCTTGATTTTGGCTCGGGTCCTGATCTCGCGGTTTGTGAGTTCGAGCCCCGCGTGGGGCCCTGTGCTGACAGCGCGGGGCCTGCTTGGGATTCTGTCCCTTGCTCTGCCCCTCCCCCACTAGCTTGTTCCTGCTCTCTCTCTAAATAGATAAGTAAATAAACATTAAAAAAAGAAGATAAAAAAGATCCTCGAGGACCAGGGATGAGAGCACTAGCTCAGGACACTCTTGAGTTAGGCAGAGACAGTGGCCTCAGGAGCCCAAGCCTGGGGGTAAGTTGTTCCCACGAGGCCAAAGTAATTATTTGTAGATCTGCAGGAGGAGGTCACTCCCGCCCGGTTCTCTGCATCGAAGTGGCCTTGTGTCCAGTGATCGCATTTAATGGTCGCGGTGGCCCTGTGAGGGGGATGGGCTTTGGGGCCTGTCTTGTCTTCTCCTCACGGCTGGGAATTAGGGGCTGGGGCTCTGAGCTACAGCAGCTGTGGCTTGAGCTGGAACTCATCAAAGGGGGAAGGGGACGGGCAGGTGTGGCCAGGTAAAGTCTTAGAATCTTTGGCTCTCAAGATTTCCAACCAAAGCTGATGCTAGTGGGTGGGGCGGGGAGTAGGGTTAGGACAGCCTTCCTGCTTGAAGGGGTCCCCCATCCTTCCCTTATTTGCAGGCCACATAGCCAGCTCCGTCCTCCCTGCTGGTCTGCGCTTTGGGGGGTTCACCAAGGTGTGTGAGGCCGTGGGGAGAAGGGTTTAGGATGTCGCTGAGGACTCTCTGTAGAAGAAGCACCTTGAGAAGCGGGGCTCGGAGGCTGGGGCTTAGAACCTGTTCTCTGCCCTCACTTCAGCCTCAGAGTTCTGATCGTCAGAGAGGGACCCAAGGGATCTGGCTGGAAGATAGTACACATCTTTCATCATGGAGTTGTGAGGCCTTATGCAAATCTGAGCCTCCCTGGGGCTTCAGTAGATAGTGGCGTTTATTCAAAGAATGTAATTGAGATTTCATATGTGCCAGAGACCGTGTGGCCCCCAGACAAGATCCCTGCCCTTAGAGAATCTCCAGTATGGTGTGGGCAAGAGAGGCTCGAACGAATAACCATGATACAATGTGATGTGTAATGATAAGGGCAAAGGAGAGGGTGCAGCTGGCAGAGAGCAGGGAACGGAGGAGCCCCCAGGGAGAGGAATGGCACGCACAAAGGCCCGCTCTCGTACAAGGGGTATCGTGTTCTAGAAGTGCGCAGAAGTGCCACACCGATAGTGATCCATGCATTCCCCGCATCCGAATCGCCTGGGGTGCTTGTTAAAATGCACCCCAAAATCAGAATCTGTGGATCGGGGTTTAGAACCTGCTTCATAAATGCCCCGAGGTGATTCCTATAGACACTGTGGTCTGAGATCTGGTAAGCGACTACAAGGTTCTCAGACCCATAACGTGGGGATCTTTAAAATGCAGAGTCTGGCCCAGCAGGTCCGGGGTATGGCTGCTGCTGGCCCGTGGATCACAGTTTGGCTAGAGAAGGGCCGGGTCAGTGTTTCTCGAACTTGCACGTGCACCAAGATCACCCGGAGAGCCTGTTAAAAACACGGGGCCAGAGTTCCTGGTTCAGTAGGTCTAGGGTTCAGAGGACCCAGGAATTTGCATTTCTAACAAGTTCCCAGGCGGTGCTGATGCTGCTGTCCGGGATGGGACCACACTTTGAAAACCACTGGGCTGGCGCACAGGGCTAGTGGGGACAGTGGTGGACTACGTGGGACGGGTCTGAGCGTATTGGGCCTTAGCCGCCTCTGGCCTCTCCCAGCAGGACTCTAACACATGCCCGGGGACCGGGAAGGGTGCGGTCTGTCTCAAGGGGGGCTCATTCTTCTTTCCGTCCCCTCCCTTACAGTGCTTACCGGACAACCGAGGTGGCCCACAGGGATCTCACCAGCAGCCTCTCAATCTCCAAATACAACTCTACCCTCCAGGAAAGCCTCTACAGGTGCGGTGGGGCAGGCCAGGCTGCCCGCCTGTGCGCAGGGAAACGGCGGAGCGCTTTGAGTCGGGGACCCCCTCTCCTTTGGCCTTTCTGGGACCCAGCCTCCGGGAACCCAGCGCGAATGTCAGGAGCATCCCAGAAACAGTCCTCAGTTGCCACCTGTCTCCCGACTTGAAAGTTCTGATTGAAGCTCGGTGCCCAGAGCACCTCAAGGTCAGGGGTGGCACAGAGTTTATCCGGTTGCTGGAGACCGCCTGCGAGTGAACCCTGGGGCCACCAGGCAGCCAGGTGTTTGAGCTGGAAGCTGCTGCAGGGAGGGGGCTTGGGGTGGGCGGG